CTGGAAGCCAGGTATCAGGCTGGTTTTTCCAGGAGGGCATTGTAAGCACTGGGTCCATAAAGTCAACTTTTCTTCCTTAAAGCTGCCCGGCCATATCTGATTCTATACGTCATTCTCAAATATGGCATTCCATTTAAAGCCTTGGTGATATAACCAATGTTTTCAATTGTGTTGTGTTTCGTGGGAAACAGATTTTTATTGAACTAATGCTAAATAACTATATTGCCACAAAAATAAAAACACTCAAGAGTTTCTGAATTCTGGAGGGATTATATAGGGAAAAAAAGATAAATATTTTTTTTTGCAAAAGTATATTCTATTAAATTGTTATGGGTTATGGATAGTTTGAGAGAAAAGAGAAAGTTGATTCTTATGTCCAGAAATGAGAACATTAAAGATTCAGAAAGTTTGAAACAAAAGCTGTAAATTTATAATCATTCTTCATTGGTTCATTTAGTCCCATGTAATCAGTTCTTGTTTTGCTTGATCTTTGGTTAGCAGTTTCATGAATGTACCAACTTCTTCACTAAAGTTCTGGAAATCCTTACTTTGTCCAGTAGCATGGTCTAAAAGTTAGTTAAGCAATGCTGTTATGATGCATTCTGGCCTGTAGCAGATGGCAAACATTTTCAAAGAAGAATCAAAGCAAAATAAAAATGATCTGTGGAGGACAAAGGACTTAAAATGGCCATGGTTAAAGATCTGATGAGAGTTCATTTCACAAGGAAATATGGTTATTTCTCTAACATGCAAAATTTTAAGATAATAACTGGAATTATGGCTGATAACATTATATCAGAACATATCATGGACAGTGTGGTCATGGACAATTTTCTATGAACTTCATAAAATTTCTGAGATATTTATATTAATAATATTTATTCACACACACATAACATAGAGAAGAATAAGCATCTCTTATTTGACAATGCTTTACATGCAATTCAACATATCAAATTATTTGGAACATTTCTCTTTTTATAAGGAGAAAAAACAAGTCTTGAGATTTTTCAGGGACCCTCTTTC